AATTTAATGTGTATAACATCAATAGCTAAGCTAAAACAAAAGCAAATTAGGATTGTTCATACATTACGTTACGTAAATTTCACATTAAAAACCCCCCATCCTTTCGTACCCACCCTCATCCTTCTTCCGTACTGTAAAAAACCTAAATATCTTTTTTTTTATAAGAAAATGCTAATGATAGAAAAGAAATAAATTTTCCTCTTTTATAGAGTTTCTAAACTTGTTATATACATATACGTATCTAATGTGTTTTACTGCAATGTAAAACATATTCCACGTGAATATGTATTTATAAAAGTTTTAAGCGTAAGATTTTATATAAGTACACTTTGGCAACAATCTACAATACATTCAACCTTAAAAAATTTTTTAAATATTATGTAATGTTTTAGATATTTAGAAATAATAATGGAACTATTAAAGTTTTGTGTTTCGGGTCAGGATCTTTTTATTAAATGAGATTATTCCATAACCTTTACCTTTATGACAATTTTTGTTAATAGTTTATTTTGAAATACTATAAATATCGTAAAATCTATTTGCCATAATATGTACACAATAACAAATGTTGAAGATTTCACCGCCTTAAGCGAATTCCACAAGTTGTACGCAATACGTACAAAACAAGCCTATGTATTTAAATTGTAAATGCACGTATGCATTCATATGTGTGCAGTTCATGTGTACAAATTTACTTAGTAAATATAGTTTATTAATTTTCATGGCTTTATATTATATTTTTTCTTATGCCACGTGTCCTGTATATCTCTATAATATTTCTGTAGTTCACTGTAAATACTTTCTTTCTTCTTAAATCATGCGCTTTCTTTTTAATGTATAAAATAGTCCATAAGTTCCACAATGCTGTCGCTTAATCACATTTAAAAACCGTATTCGTGACATCAAAATATGTAGTAAAAAATGTGTGTTCAATATTTTGTCCACTATTTTGCTCACTACAACGAATAAAAGGCTAAGAAGCTGATATGATTAGCTTATATGGTACATGGTATTGGTATTCAATACATACAATTTACACAATGAATAATACAATTTACATTTATTTCATCGGATCTTTTTAATGTTACGATGTTATTTAACTCAAAAAAAAAAAAAACTACTGTCGATATTTTTATTAATTGTATAATTAAATTAAATAATATTTTTTTAAATTAAAATTAAATAAATTAATTATGAGAAATGTAAAATATTTTTTTTTCTTTTTATTTTTAGTTTACATATAAAATATTCCACTTCTTTTTAATAATTAGGTATTTTTTATTATTTTTTTTTTCATATTAATACAAAAAACCCTTACATTAATATTTACTGAATAACATTAATTTTCATTGACAATAGCATAAAAAAATTAAAAGAAAAACCAAAGTGCTTATAATTCATTTTTTTTCATTGCTAAGTATATACGACAGATTTTTTTTTGGTGTTGCTATTGAACATAAACATTTTCATTCTTTTATTTAAAAAATATTTTTTAATTAAAAATAAAAAAAATTAAAAAAAACATTTTAACTTATCCATTTCCATGGTTCATTATCAGGGCTAGTAATTGGTGTTGGAAGGTCCGCTTTGATATCCTCGATACGATCTTCTAAATCATTTATTTTATCATCAGATTCATCATTAAGATTTGAACGTAATTCACCTTCGGCAAGTATCTCGGAATTCTTTGTCTCTAATCTAGAAATTTCTTGTCTTAATTCTGCGACCAATTGCGATTGTTCTGTATATTTTATTTTAACGTTCATTAATTCATCTTTCATACGTGATTCTAAATCAGAATATCTATGCTGTTGTTCACGTGTTTTATTACCTAAATCTTTTTCACGCCCTTTAGATTGTTCTAATTCATCTTTTAATTTTTTATTTTCCTCGTCTTGCCTTCTCAATTGGTTTGTTGATACTTGAACTTGGGTTTCAAGTTCCATTACTCTTAAGCGTAATTCTTTTAATTCAGTTAAGGTTTCCATTTCCCTTATTCTTGTCGTCATTAACTCTTCTTCTAATTTTTGTGTTTCATTTGACTTTGTATCCCAAAATAATAATTTCTTTGCAGTAGCAGACGAATTATTCTCATTTGATGCGTCAGATTTCTGCTCTTGCAGTTGACGTTGCCATTGTGAACTCAGTTCCTGAAAACGTTGTTTTAAATCTTTTAATGATAAACTTGCTTCGGCTTCCCTCAATTTACTTGCAATTAATTCATCTTGTAAATGTGCTACAGAATTTTCAGGTGTAATTTCACGTAGTGTTTTTTTATCTTCTTCTAATTCTTCAACTTTCATTTTTAATGTTCTAACAAGATCTTCATTTTCAGCTAAACTTTGCCTTACTTTTACTAATTCTTCGAGCAAACAGGAAACCATTTCATCACGCTGTTTTAGTGCCTCTTCTTTAATACATAATTCATCGATTGAACTTTGATGTGAATTATTATTTTCTTGTAATCTTAAACTTAAAGCTCTTATTTCTTCATTAGCGTTTTCCAATTGATACGATATTTCAAGGTAATTTCGTCTAAGAATATGAAGTTCATTTTGAACTGCAAAACTGGTTTCCTCTTCTTCAGCTCTGGAAACTTGTCCTTTTACCAATTTGTCAGCTAATTCAGCGCTTTCAGCTTCTAAAAGTTCATTTCGTTTAAGTAATAAACGATTTTCGCTACGTAATCGACGTAATTCGACCATTTCTTCTTGTTCTTTTTTCTTCAAATCAAAATATTCTTTTTCAAATTTCTTCATTTTTTTCGAATTAATTTTTATTTCATTTGTCAATGAAAAAAATGCTTCTGGGTCGTTAGCTACTTTCTCAGGTAATTGCTTTTGAAAATATTTTAACATTGCTTCCATATCAAGACATAGTAAATCATCTTTACCTATTGTTAATAATGATAAAGCTGATTTAAAAATAAAATCCATACCTTCACTTAAAAATATATCCATTATACGACAGCTAACATTTAAATTTAAATTTGTTGTAAATAGCGTCAAAAACCAGCTAGACGCATACATTGAAGTTTGGAATGCTTGTGTTTGAAAATGATTATGTAGTTCTGGTAATAAATCTTGAACTAAATTTTCTAATTGATACATGCAAAGACCCAATTCGGACATTGATGGTTTAAACATGTCACGCATTTTGTGCTGTTGCATAATTTGAACAAAAACGGCAAAAGCTTCTTCTTCCGGCATTTGCATTAAGAGTAATCCAACTATAAAAGCTGAACCTTGACAATAACCAACTTCACGATCATGTATAGAATATGCTTTAATAACATTAAATAATGCTTCTTGCCCAAACCCATCCTTCTCTTTAAAGAAATCATGTTCAGGATAAGTACGTGCAATATCTCTACGTATTACTTTTTCACATGCTGATGTTGCCTTTAAATAATCAGCATATTTCTTTTTTTCACTTTCTGATGCACCACATAATAATTGCCAAACAATTGGTCTAAAATGACGTGGTATACCTTTACGTACAAGTTCTGGTATAGCTGAATTTTTTCTTTTAACATTACCTTCCCAGTCATTAACAATAGCTGACCATGTAGTCCATACATCTTCTTCAGCCGATGATGTCACAATTTGGCTGGTACTAGAATTTTTTCTACTATGGGTAGAATTTGTGGAAGTCATTGAACTTAGGCTTTTGGCATCGCTTTCAATTAATTTATTAGCTGCTTCTAACTTTGCTAGTAATTCTGCTTCAGTTGATGATAAATTTTCTTTAGTAGTAGACTCACCCGCACTCATTTTGCTCCAAAATTACAGATCATTTTGCGTTTATTTTTCTTTTTGCTTTCTCTTATTTTCTTCGTTTTTGTTTCTTTTTACGAGGAATATATTCGCAATAACCGCAAATCAAGAAAAAAAAAAGCATAAATACTTAACTCGTAAATAAATAAGTTTATATTCAATAAATAATGTTTAAGTAAAAAAAATCGTATATTTTAGCACTTTAATATACAAAAAATACAATATTGAATTTTCTTTTGTTCATACGCTGATGCAAGAATGTAATCATTCAGTCAACATCCAACAAGTAAAAAAATTTACTTTATTCCCATATGGCATAGAAGATTCAAACACTTAAATTTTTTTTTTTATTGTGTCAGGAATGTTGAAATGGAATAGTTAACTTTACATTTGAGAAAACAAATAGTTTGTGGTTTTTTCTTTAAAAAGAAATAAATTAAAGAAATTACAATTAAATATAATCACAATATAAAAAAATTCTTTAAAAATTAACACAATCTAAGTTCCCTATAATACTCTTGTAATGTCAAAAATCTTTTGTGATTTCATGGTGAAAAGAAAATTGTCAAAAATGTTAAACGTCACTTATTTTATGTTTAATTTGACAATTAGAAATATTACGTAGTGACATCTTTTGGCCATTCTTCTGAAACAATTTTAAATCACTTTCGCTTCATATTCAAACTATCTACCTATTGTGCATATACAGGGTAATTCCGTAATCAGTGAAATAATATATACTATAAACAGTAAATATTTTGATTTTTTACATTTTATTAGGACTTTTAAAATTTTCAAATAGAAATGATTTTTTCGCTATACCTCCTATACCATAAAAGACTTTTTAATATTTAGTGACTTAAATTAAATCTTAAGAAAGTGGCCAAAATTCTGTGAAAAAAAATTTCGAAGTTTCAAAAAATTTCGTACGAAATTATCGGGTTGGAGAAAAATAAAAGAAGGGAAAAATCAAATATTTTCTAAAGTTCGAATGATTAGTAGTCCGAAAGCACATAAAATACAAGATTAAGTAATATATTTTTTTAGGTACATGAAAAGAAAACTCTCTTTTATGCGGAATAAAATACGTTACTTTTATTTTTGCTAATATATTTTGTGCGCTGCATCAAAGCTGATTTTCTTCTCATTTTTGATAAAGTGCGTATGTAGCACGAAATATATTAGCAAAAATAAAAGTATCTTATTCCAAAAGGGGGCTTTCTTTTTATATATCCAAAAAAAAATTTTAATATTTCGGAAAAATTATCAACATTTTCATTGAAGAATTTTTTGAATATACTACTGTTGCTTTTATGCCATTTACTAGTCCTTTAAAAACTGTTTATTTGAAGCTTCTATCTTTTGCGGAAGGGAAGCTTTAAATAAAGAAGCTTGGGTAAGTAGAAATTTCATGAAAATTCTTTAAATTCCCTGTACCTCCGAAACCGCTGAGATTTGACACCTATTTCTCAACAAAAATTTTACTCTTTTTTGATGCTCTAAATGATGGTAAGTTTTATGTCACTGATTACTAAATCACCCTGTATATTATATTACATTAGGTTACAATATTACTACATTAGTTAATGTTTTTTTACAATATTAATTTGAAAAAAACAGGAGCGATTTTCCACAGCGAAATATCAGAATTCATATAGAAACACATATTTAAATAGGAATGTTCAGAAACAAACGAAATTTCCGTCACAAATTTAACCGTCGGCAGTAAAAAAACATAAATTCCTAATTTACGGAGCTAAAAAAAACTGAGATTCCTATTTTACCATTGGCAGTTTTTTTTAACATTGTCTGTTTTCATGCATTATGTGTGTAGCACAATATGCAAAATACTGTACAATTAATTTTTCTACACCGCTGTTGTTATGGGTTAAAAACGCAAATTGTCCATCACCACTTTGGTTCTGATTAGGGTTTGAACGGTTACACTTACAGTATCTGTATCGTTGCAGATTATAGCAACGTTACTATAAGTTACTGTAGGATTACGTTTTTAATTGAACGAAGAGCTGTAAAAAGCCTTAAATTTAAAATTTTTAATTTATTTACTTGTGCAATACTATTTTTTAATTTGAATTTTTTTTTATTCTCTGAAGAAAATATTTGTTTTTCATTATTTTCTTTTTATTTAAATTTTAAATTAATAATTAATAAACTAATAGTTTTTTTAAAACAATAATTTTTTTTTACAATTTTCAAAATTTTTTTTAGAAATCTTGAAGGAAACAAAACTAAGACAAAGTTGCAGGTTACAGTAACCGGTTACTGTAAAAAATTTGCAATTTTACAGTGGTTACTGTGAGTTACTCTAACCATCCAAACCCTAGCTCTGACTTCTGATTAACATTTTACAATTAATGTTAAGGTAAAGGCAAGACTTTTGTATTCGAGAGCTCGCTACGTCAATTTAATAGATCTGTTCAAGTTCAAAATAGAAAATGTTCTATTAAAAATGGCACTCTCGTTTCTTCAACAATTTAAAAAAATTTAAAAGTAAAACATTTATCCTGAGAAAGACTTTATAAAACAAATTCCACAACTTATTTACAGATTTTTATATTAAAGAAAATATGATTAAGAATGGAAGAATGAAGAGAAGTTCAATAGTTAGTTTGATTTTGACAATTTATTAGACAATTTGTTGAAATAAAAATTTTTCTCTGTTTGGTGCGAGTTTCATATCCAGACTAAATCTACTGATTTAGTCTATGATATAATCTTGTAAATTTATATATGACATTCATTATATACTTTTATGTCAAAGGTTGACAGCACACGTGTTGCAAAAATTTAGAGTGATATTTAGAAAAACAAAAAAATTTTGTTTAAGGCATACAATGGTTTTAAAAAACTGACACAAAATTTGATATCATCTACTGTCATAGTATGTACGTAATTTGAAAACATAACAATTTTTCCATATTTACAAAAATATAGCAAAAAGAATTAATATGGCAGTTCCGTTCATGAAGCTATTATTGAAATTATTAAAAATAATTTTGACATATTGTTGGGCATGCGCTTTAAATTGAAAAGTGTAACAGTGTAGTCAGTTCAGAAGAATTGTCTCTAGTACGGTGTTTACATTTAAGTATTTACTTGAATGAGAAGAGTAGAGTACAAAATCTATAAATATATCTTATTCATTCTTGCATCTTAAATTAAACGTAAAAAATAATGAAAATTTAATGGGTTAAGATAAAAGAGAAAATAAAAATTGTATGAATCAGAAAAAGAGAGAATAAACTCAAGTTTTTTTTTTATTTTTTTGTAAATCATAAATAAAGTGCTAATTAATATTACAAAAACAAAAACCGTAAAAAAAAAAATAAACTAAATTTACGACAAAAGAAGGATGAAGTGAAAAAATTGCAAAAAAATATTTCAAATTATTTTTTATAAAATAGTTAAAATAGTTAAAATTATTTTTTATAACAAAAAATTCTTGAAAATTTCATCAAACAAAATAAAAAAGAAACGAATAAATTTTTTTGGCTTTCACGCAAATTTTCTTTCTTTTGTTTTTTAAATAGGTACCCATATATATTTTTTTTCACATTAAATTAAAACTAGTTACAAAATATAATTAAAATAATTAAGTTCAAGAATTATTTAAAGAATTGGGTCCAGTGTTTTTTTTTACAAAATTTTAATAATTAATTTTAAGTAAAATTAGTGTTTTCTTTTTTTAGTCGAAAACAAAAAATTCAATATAATATAAGTATTTCCTAATTTTTTAATTTTTTGTATTGATGTGAAAAATTGATTGCCTTGACTTTGACTAAATTGTGAATATGAAATATAGCATTTAAAATTCAAATATTTTTTTTCTATATTTGAAAAGTATAAAGTAAAGTAAGATTTTCAAATAAAAAATGTGAAAGAAATACATCTAAGAAAATTCCCATACAAAAATACGGGCAAAATTGAATAAAAATTATCCTTTTTGTTTTTCAAAAAAACAAAATGTAAGAATACAATATTATAAAATTCTATATTGCAAAATTCTAATTTAAAAAGGGCTGGGATTCACACAAAATTGCAAAATATTGTGAAAAAATTTAATTTTCTTAAATTGAAATAAAAGGCTTTTTTTTATTTTTATTCAATTTAAAAACAAAATGACATGACGTGCTTCTGCTTATGGCCTTGGAAGACAGGGCAGAAAATTGGAAGATCTGTCGCCGTTTTGTATGTAATTTACTACTGCTGTATGTTTTCCTCACACATATGTACCGTGTTTAAAAAAAAATAATATAGCACTGCAATAATTTTGCATTGAAAAAATTTTTAAACCAGAAGAATTTAAAACTAAAGTCACATCAAATTCACATTTTTTTTACAAAATCAATTTAGAATATCCTTGCGAAAATTTGAAATATTTGAAAAAAAGAATGTTTTTATAAAAGCAAAAATAATAATTATAAATTTTAATTTTTTTTAATATTTTTTTTTCATACAAAATTTTGCAAAAGGAGAATAATTGAAATATATAATTAAAGAAATGTCATTTGATATTCATGACCGGGAAAGGTAAGTTCCTGTGTATTAAATTTTTGTAATTTTTATATTATTACTAGGTATTAATACTCGTAGTAGGTAGTAATTATAACCCGCCTACCTACCTTCTTATGTATTTACTTCAATATTCCATTCACATTCCATTGCAATACCGTCGTCCCAATATGTATTCCCCAACTTGTCCCAGCCATTACATTACTTATGCCATTTTCGTTAATTGCTTTTCGAATTAAAATTGAAAAAGAAGATTATAAATATAATATTTTATATATATTAAATAGTACCTACCTATATGTACCAACTTATTTATATTAAATATACATTCTATTCACATTCCATTGGAGTACAGTCCCAAAATCCATTTAATTAATTTTTTTTACTGAAATTGTTTTATTTTAATGATTTCTTGATACGAGGATATAATAATGGTGAGCAGGAACTCATATGCATATGAATGCATATGAATTCCTGCTCACCATTTAATGTAATCATGCATTTAATTATGCAACTGCTTTCAAGAATTTCTAGTGATCGGGAAACAAATAATGTAAAGTAATGAAAGAAATTGAATGTTAATCTTCACCTATTTTTATTGATTATTGAATGTTGTAGTTTTTTTTTCTCCTGAAAAAGGGAAAGGAACTTAGTAATGTAAGATAGGGCAGTTATGTAAGATAGGAAGATTTTTTTTATTTGATTTAATTTTTAAATTAATTCAACATTTAATCAATTTATAATTATTTAATTGCATTTATTTTTATTATTTTTTAGTTGGTATTTTGGACCTATGTCCCGATTAGATGCAACTGAGTTACTAATGAATGAAACTGAAGCAGGTGTATTTTTGGTCAGAGATAGTAATACAATTATTGGAGATTTTGTGTTATGTGTAAGGTAAATGTTACTAATATAATTATCAAACTATAAATAAAATTAAATTTTACATTTTATGTTTATTTTTTGTTTTCGTTTTCATTTCTTTTCATTTTTAAGAGAAGAAACCAAAGTTGGACATTATATTATAAATAAAATTGAGAATGGTGATCAAATAATTTATCGTATTGGTGATCAAGTATTTGGAGATTTACCAGAGTTATTAAGCTTTTATAAATTACATTATTTGGATACGGCCTCATTGATACGGCCAGCTAGCACAATTGTCAATAAAACAGATAGATTGCTTAATAAAACAGAACGAGTTATTGCAAAATTTGATTTTGATGGAAGTGTAAGTTAAAAATTGTTCTATGTATTATTGTATAGAACCTACTTACATTCTGCGTTTTAAATATTTCATGCAATATACGTATATTGCATCAAACATATCTCTATTTAAAAATTTTGATTTATTTAAAACAAAAATGTTTTTTTATTTTAATATAGGATCAAGATGATTTACCATTTCGACGCGGAGAAATTCTAACTATTGTAAGTAAAGATGAAGATCAATGGTGGACCGCCAAAAATTGTTATGGACAAATTGGTCAAATTCCGGTACCATATGTACAAACAGTAAGATTTAAAATTAGAGTTCACTTTTATTTTGAAATTAATGAATTTTTAAGGTAATTTATTAAATACATATATTTTTTTTTGCAATTTTAGTATGAAAATAGTATAGCTGATAGACCTGGTTCTGGAGGAAGTGCAGGAAGTAATTTGGATAACGGTACAAATTGCACAAATATTCAAAATAATATGAGTGTAAACCAAATTCATAGTGTCAGAACAGGCTCATCACCACATCAGCTAGGCAGCTCTTTAAAAAAATCGGATTTAAATGTAACTAATAATAATATATTTTATTTTTTAAATTATATAAGTGAAAATGCAAAAAGCAAAAACGTTATTATAATTTTGTTACTCCTTTACTCAAATATATTAAGTAAGATGGCCAAAATCAGAATTATAATTGAAAGAATGGAATGAAAGATTCGGGATATACAAGCATATTTTATAAGACGCATAACAGTTTTATTGTAACTCAAATTACAATATCATGGAATAATATTTAAATACATTATTTACGTTGTGTCTTACAAAACACGGGTGATGAGCCAAAAAATTACTTTTGAGAAAAGTGCCAAAAATTTTATTCAACTATCACATGTTTATTCCAAATGAATTTGCATTATAAAATGAAATGTTTTCAAACCTACTTTATCATATTTTATTCGGTTAATAGACCAAAAAATTTAAGTTCGTAATGGTCCTATGGAATTGTATTTTTTTGGTTAATATGAAGACAAATTTAATGTAAATGCATACATTTCCCTATGAACCTTTATATTCCTTTATTTTTTACTATTAATTTTATTCACAATCATCATCTATTTAGTCGATGAGAAATATAAAAGCGTTGTGTAGTATTTTGTAATATTTCATAATTTTAGTATAAAAATATATACGTATATCAAAATATATGTATTTTTTTTTTGTATTTAAAGAGGAAATTACCAGCTCTGGCGATTGTCAAACAGACCCGTATACCCAACGCGTACGATAAAACTGCACTGAAATTAGAAGTTGGTGATGTTATAACTGTAACAAAAACTAATATTAATGGTCAGTGGGAAGGTGAATTGAAAGGAAAACGGGGACATTTTCCATTCACTCATGTTGAATTTATTGAGGATAATGATAATAATTGCTGTAATAATACATTTAATTCAACACAAAAATATCAACAACAGCAACAAAATCAAATTAGTCCTGGTAGCAATGAAAAACGACATCATTCTGGAAATAATCAACTACAACAGCAACAACAACAACAGCCACAACAACAATCGCAGCAACAACACCAATTTAATGGTACAGGAAATACTGAAATTAGTAGTAATAATGAGTGGGGTGATTGAAAATAATTTAAAATAATAATAATATTAAATGATAATATGAATAATAATATAAATAAAAAATTACAATAATTAATAAATAACAAGAAAAAAAATTATAATTAAAAATATTAATTCTAATTTGTATATGTATACAATTTATTTTTTAATTTTGAATTTTGAATTCGGTTTCTAAAACTCAAATTTGCATTGCAAACAATACAAAAGAAGAAAAACAAAGCAACAAAAACAAAATAATAAAAATGATGAAATTAATTATATATTTTAAATTTATATTTTAATAAGCAAATATCATATACGCATATATTTATATACATATATTTAAAAACAATGTAACAAAACAAAGAAGTTTTTCATTTGGATGTAAAAAATCTATAAAATATTATTAACTCTACAATGGAAAGGTATAGCGTTACGGTATAAATTAACAAAATGAAACTAACATGACGTAGATAACGTATGAAACGCACAATAAATAAAATGAAATAATAAAAGGTCATCTACCAAACGTTAACTCGAGTTTTTCGCAAATCAAATGTCAACTTGCTTTTTCAATAATGCAATTATTATAAAAGAAAATTGAGGTTAGGGTTCTGGTGAATATCCAATTTCTAGTTTTGCAACTGTTTGATTACTTATTTGTGTTCCATAGGTTTGTATTTTAGATAATGCAGCTGTATGAACACATGCAATTAAGCGATCAATTAATTTGTGCTGAAATGGTAATTGCTAAACTAAAAGTTGAGTGTCTGACAGAACGCTTAGTCTGCCTTTAGGTGTATGATCTAATAAAAGTTAAATGTGCAGTTTTTACATTTTGTAATTATTATGCTATAAAGATTCATATTAATTTAAACACCATTCAGCAATATGTAACTTAAGCTGAATAGTGTAAAAAAGCGTATTAGAGCATTTGTAACGTTTCCTTTCATAAATTAAAAATTGCAAAAAACGATGTTAAGTTAACACAATTTGTATTATCTTTAAATGACGAAAGAAAGAGAGAGAAAGAGCAAAAAAAGAAAGAAAGTTGATTCACATATTTCATTATTGTAATGTTTGTGTGCTTGCGTGTTTGGCTGTGTGTTAGTGTGTGTGTACAACTTGTGTTTGGATAAGTTATAACTGATGAAATAAAATAATTTATTATTGACGCCTACATATAAAATTAAAATAAATGCTTCATGTAATAAAAATTTTTCTATTATGTTCAATGTTATCTTATCACTTACCGATTAATAAGAAAAAGTAAAAAAAAATATACTAAAACACACACTGAAAATTTCAATAAAAAGAATCATATTTTTGTAAGCTTTTAGGGAATAATATTTATACTCGAGGCGAAATTATTTGTAAGGGAAAAAGTGCACTCAATAGAGAATCTACGCTTTTGCATACATGCAATTAGGCCATTTACGTAATTTTTGGCGTGTAAATTCGAATTACAATAATATTTTGTTAAAAAATATTATTTCGAACATTAGTCGCATTTACTGAATTATATAGTAACAATAGAGTGTTATTCCAATTCCTATCTCAGTGATGACATCAAATTGATTTATTCAGCAGTCTGTATTTCAGTCAATAATTAGTTGCTTAATAAGTAATATTAACGTCAGATTTGTTATTTTTTTGTTTGGTCGAAATGTAGCACGTGTTTACACATTTGTCACTTATAAAATTTAGGTACATACATTTGTGTGTTTTTCCTAGACTTAAAGAGTGAATACTATGAGTAAAACCCTCGTATGCAATATTAAGTTTATACATAATTTGAAAAAATAAAAGAAATATTAACTCACTATCACTCACTTCAAAATTACAATAATACGGTATTAATACACAATTCAGCAACTTGTAAGCCGATTACTTTGTTAATATTGCACTACTGCAATTTTGAAGTCTGCCAATTATTTTAATAAATTCAACATTGTTTTAATCATATAATTCACATATTAAAAAAAAAAATACCTTAAAATAGAAATGTTTTCCCTACAAAGTCCCAATGTATGTATGTACAAAGTATGAATTTCTAAAGTCTAAAAAGAAGTATTAGGTAAAAAGAATGAAAGTTATTTTTTATTTAACAATTTGTTTAAATTAAAATAAATATAATAAATAAAAAAAATATAATAAATTTGTCTAAAAACATATTGTAATTTATCTCTTTGTTTCATTTTTAAATTTTAATAAAATTTTTATAAATACAAAATAGATTTGATATTCTACAATTTAATTATTAGTTTAATGTTACACAAAATATGTTTAATTACTTTAAAATAAAAAAAAACACGATATTATTTTCACGCATAAATATCGTGATATCCGAAATGTAAATTAAATGTAATATTAGTCATGTTATAATCAGATCGATATAGTAAAAATTGGATACAAAATTATAATTAGCTGTGGTATAAAATATATAAATATAAAATGACAACCTTATTCAAATTGCAGCAATGATAATATTTGGTATAAATACTATTGAGACTTCAAAATTTCAATAATATTTGTGCTAATACTGATTTTAGCTTTGAAATTGTAATTCTTGAATTATTTAATTCACAGTATTACTTCAATTTTCAAGTCATAGGCATTTTAAGTAACAGAATTACAAAATAATTTCTATTATTCAAATTGTAAAATGTATCGTGACATCCAATATGTATAAAATTTATATTTTACACTTTTTTATACTACATAATTTATTTGTATTTTATATTGTTTAATTATACCCTGACATTAACCACCGTAATACTGTAATATTACAGAATTCAAATTATGTTAATTGCTAATATTTTAATTTTAAGACTATGTAGTATTACTGCAATTTTAATGTTATTTACAATAGCATTTGAAGATATATAAATGCAATCTGACAATATATTTTTCAAATCATATTGGATATTACGAATGTGTAGATGAAATTAATAAGGTAACTTTTGCGATTAATTTACAGATTTCAGCTTATACGTTATATGATATGTGAATATTACAAATTAAGCGCAGTAATGAATATTACACATCATTCTATTTGACTGCAAAAGGCTTTAAAATTTTTTAAAGTTAATTTTATGTGTAACTGCATCAAAGGAAGTGTTAAATTAAAATCGCAAATTAAAAATTAAAAAAGGGAAAAAACAATATGTATTTTCAATTAATTTGTAAAAAGATATGTTTCCCTGAGATCGGAATTATAATAATAATGTATTAATGCCAAACTGAGCTTATAAGTGCCAATTGCTGAATTATGTATGTATCGATACGGTATTATTACAATTCCGACATTATGGTTTGTTTAACAGTCCCTGGCTTCAAAATTCAGTAATATGGTATTAATATACAATTCAGCTTATACGTTGTAATTGCTCAATTGTATTGCAATGTCGTATCATTGTAATTTTGTCAAACAGCTTGTGTGTGTCATTTTTAAAAACATTTTTAATATTTAATTTTTTTTATGTTATGTGTAAGAAAACTGCGAATAATGTTTAAGAAGGAAATCTATATTTTATGTAAAAAAAAACAAAAAAAAATAACAAAAAAAAAAGCAAAGAGAAATTAAGTTTTTTATATAAAGAATTGATATAAAACCTGAAATAAATTTGAAATGGAAAATTTTTAATGTAAAACAAAATTTACACAATGTTCAATAATGACAAGAAATATAATAGATAATATTTTGTACTGCAGTGTTGAACTTAAAAATTTTTCTCAATTTTAAATACATAATTAAAAAAAACGAAAATGCATTAAATAATTAATAATATACCGTATCTTAAAATTTTCAGTAATACTGAATTGATTAATTTATTATAATTAATTAATTGATTATCATTAATTAATTGATTATAATTAATTAAGTTATAGTATTATTAATTAATTGATTATATTATTTATTAGTTGATTATAATTAATTAAGTTATAGTATTATTTATTAATTGATTTTAATCATCAAGTACATTCATAAGTTAAATTGTGTATATATGCCGTATTACTGCGTTTTTGAAGTAAGGTATTACGTTATTTATACAAGTATAGATCTTGACTTCAAAATTGCAGCAAAGTTTTATTGCTACATAATTTAACAATTACAATATAATGCGAACCTGGTATTAATAGTCTATAACCGCAATCTTGAAGTCACAAAAACAGGAAATGTAAAAATAATCGGAAATAATCGGAAATGTAATAATATTGTATTAATGCAGAATTCAGCTTATAAATCTTAGCTCAGCTTGTGAATCGATACGGTATTATTATAATTTCGATATCAGACTAAATCAATAATCGAATGACAGTAATAATTAATTAAAATTCATATGTTTTCGGAAATTTGAAGTAAAGATGTATTAAGAAAATTGATCTAATCAATTAAGATTCTAATACATATTCATTTAACTGATATTCTATAATTACAAGTACTAACTTCAAGCATATATCGTATATTATAAGCACTATACGCTACACAAATTATACATAAACTGTTAATAAATTATTATATGCATCTTATATTGTTATATGCGTTTATAAGCATTATTTAAATTGTATACAACTGAAATTGCAGTAATGTAAAATGTTATTATTCCGCATTTCAGGTTCTTAGTTACAATTACTGATTTGTGTATGAACACTGTATTATTGCAATTTTCAAGTAAGATTATGCCTCGTCGTCTATCAAAGCCGATCTGATGTCAACTTTACTTTACAATGTAATTTTAATTGCTGAATAAATTAAATTGCAGAGATATTATAGTACATAGATTTGTTTTGCATTTTGGTAAAAACTGTTTTTGTTTAAATTCAAAGTCTATAGCAATTCTGTATATTAACTATACAATATCAGTTTATAAGTAATTTACAAGATAATTAATGAAGTCTACACAATTCAGATTATAAGTGCAGAATTCTCCAGTAATAAAGTTTCCTACCAGAAATAAGATTTGTTTTGAACTTTACACTTCCATATATCCCCTGCAATTTGGATGGCAAAGGTCATTTTCAAAAAAGAAAAAAGAAAAGATAGCATCAAAGAACTGGCAGTAAAGTATTTTTTTTTGTAATTAAAGATCGACATATTTTTTTTTGATGAAAATTGTATTGTAATAAAATATTTTCGAAATTATAAAATTTAAAGTAATTTGAACGTAAAATTTAAGTAAATTATATATAACATTTTATAAAGCTCTTAAAGTTCTCATATGCTAAAATTAAAAAAATAAATAAATGTCATTGTTTAGGACATCAAAAATGGGTGAAATTTTTGTTTTGAACTATTTGTCAACTCTCAACAATTTTAAAAATACAGAAATTTTAACGAGCTTTCGGGAAGTTTTTTTTTTATAAGTTCCGTTCCGAAAAAGATAGGGCTTCAAACAAACAGTTTTTGAAAGGCTTAGTAAAGGCTTGAAATGAACATGTTGCTATTTTGTATTTTATGTACTTTCGGAATAAGAAGCACTCGTCTTTAGAAAAAATCAAAAAAAGTAAAAAATTGTATGCATTGGGGTTCTGATGCCATTTCTCACATGTTTTCAAAAAACATTTAATACATTTTACCGGCAAAACTATGAGAGATAGAAGAAAATTTTATATGAATTAACTATTAATTAAATAGCTCTTATTATAGCGCATCTAAAAGGGGAAAAAAATAACACAAATTTTCGAGAAATTTCGAGTTTTAAAATAAATTTTTAGAGCCAATGGCTTGAAAAACAAGCTTGCGAAGGCTACTCTATGTCACATGGTTCCGAAGTTATAGGTTATGTGCAGGAAAAATTTGGTTCCATTTTTTTCAACATATAGCTCGAAAACTAGTATGTCTGCACTTTCTTCTAGCCATAAAATGTTTTTTTGGAAATTGATCAAAGAATTATCCCTGAAATAAATTGTCATTTTAAAATTTCAATAAATTATGAGATTTATGTTAAACACCCTGTATTCATACATGTTTGTTATATTATTATATTTATGTACACATTATATATGTATACGTAGGTCTTAGTTTTTAAAAATAAAAAGCTGCTTTCCAGCTTTCCATTGCACATTAATTTTTTTAAATCGGTTAGAATTATGAATGTTAGCCTTTTTGTCGAAGGCAATAATTTTCAACTGGGATTTTTGGATTGAAATACTCATTCGCGGCCCCCACTGGCGGACCACATTGTCCCGCCGTTATACTTTTTAGAGAATACACGCCGTTACAGATTCATCCAGTATCTCATCTATATGACAATAATTTTTTCATATAAGTAATAAATAATTACTTTCAAAAAGTTTGTCGCTGAAACTTGAAGAATCCTTGACTTCAAAAATTTAGTAATGCTTTGTGAAGCAATTCAGCAATTACAGTTCGAAAACTGAATTGTGTATGAAATGACAGTATAACAGCTCTTACAGTATAACTTCAACATATTAACTGTAACACGGTATTAAAACAGAATTCAATATGGTGTATATAGCAATATATTTATTGGACATGTACGAAATGTTCATCTAAAATCAATTTAATTTATTAAGCAATTAAAATTGTGAATTGTTTAATAAGTTAAGTTGACCCTATATCTGGCATTTTGGAATAGATATGGCCATAGTATTACTATACAATTTTCAAGTGTAGGACTATGTAACGTATGTATGTATGTAGTGATACTCAGTTCAACATAGTTAGCACTTATAACTGAATTGTTACATAAAACGTTATATTTCTAACCGATTTAAAAAACGTTAATTACTTCATGTAATTTGAATGTCATCATCTGGATCTAAATATTCTTCAATTATCCAAAAAAATTAATGATTTCCAACATATTCTGATGCTAAAGTATCCAATTTGCCTATTGTAAATGGTGGTCTATTATGTAGTGCTATGATTCTCGCATTTTAAATTTTGATACTATGTAAATCGAATATCGCAAATCTGCGTAATCGAAAGTAAAGTGGTACTACAGAATGCTACTTTAGTATATTTTCAATTCACTTGCCATTTTGTTTACGAATCTTATAGCGAAAGTGTAGGTGTTACATTTATTTTGCTTTATTAAATTATAAAAACCTTGCATTGCAAATCTACTGAACTTAACTAAATTTTTATAATTAGTAATTATAATTATAAGGTCAAAATAAAACGCTAAACCATTCCGATTTACGGTAATAGTAAAATTCATGTTATGTGCCAAATTTGTTTTGCTTCTTTATTCTCAACATTGCTTCTTCCAGTTTTATTTCTATGAGAATTAACTTTTTATCTACAGCCTTACAAATTTCGGTAATAAGTGAAATGGTTTGCTGAGCAAAAGTAATATTAAAATTTTCACCTACCTGTCTCTTGCTATCCAAATTGTTTTAAAAAAATTAACAATAATTGCCTCCTTAATATACATACATTTAAATGTATGCCTATTTTAAAATAATTCAAATGTTAATTTTTAAAAAAGTGTCAGAAATGCCAAAAACAAAAAATTTTAGAAAATGCTGCCAGTTTAAATTTTTTTGTGAATTTTGTTATATAGTCCCAAATCACTTGCGAATCGCAAATCAACTTACACAAATTTGCGACTTTCGCATTTTTACACAGTAGGCCACCAGGCTTCGACGTATATTATTGCACCGTTGATTTGGGATTTTTTGATTTATATGTTGTTGAGATCCGTATATAAATTTCAACAACTGAATTGTTTACACAGCGTTACTTTTAGCTGAATTCGTTTGTGATTAATCTTTAACTTCCAAATTACTGTTAAATGCTATTTGTTTTTTTTTCCCAATTTATAATTTGTAATTGTTGAATTAATATGTATGTTAATATCGTTGTAAATTACTGCAAATTTTTAAATCGGAGATATATTATTTCATTATTTTGTTTATATATTGTATTACCGACAATATGCTGATTATACTGATTTCGAAATAACAGTAATAACTATATATCGCTATTATATACAATTTAGCAATTACGCAATTTACAAATTGAATCGAGTATATACCCAATTCAACTTATGAATATTAACACCATATTATTATGGGCATTACTATATACAATTTCTCTCAAGTCAAACAGACGTTAACTTCCAAAATCCAGTAATACCGTATTAGTACTCAATTCAGAAATTCATACTTATAAGCTGAATTGTGTATTAATACCATTTCACTGCATTTTGGAAGTCAAGGATTATATTTTGATAATCTGAGTATATATTATATGAGTATCAAAATCTTTTAGCGCCACGTTATATACTAAATATATATTATTCCCAAATAATTTACAATATTATTATAAATATTTATTAATTGTATATATATTGAAACCCATAATTTATATATATAAAATATAACTATATATTCAAAATCTATATTGTTACTATTTTATGAAAAGAAAAAAAATTAATAAAATTCCACAAGAAAAATACATAAAACACAAAAAGAAATATTGCCATCATATAAATTTAATATAAAATAAAAAAAAAACTTGGCTTCAAAATTACAGTAGTACGTACGTATTAATACACAATTCAGCTTTGCAATTGCTAAATTGTGTAAGACATTAATTTCTGCAATTTTGAAGTCAGGAAAGATTAATCAAATTCTTGAATTCAAGAATTTTTGTGGAAAAAAATACGAAATAGATTATTAAATAAAATAATCATACTGAAAATTGAAACAAGAATTCAATATTAATTATAAAAAAAAACAAAATAAAAATAAATCATATTTTTCCAAATGTATTACAATTTTAATGTATATTTTTTGATTTCAATATATAATTTAAATGTATATTTAAACGGAAAGTAATTGAAAATAAATAGAAAATAATCCTTAAAAAAGAATAAAAAAAAAAGGAAAAGGATAAAGAAAAAAGTTAACAAACAATGTAAAAATTATACGAATAAATTATATACATTGACATCTACATATAAATTCATACAAAAAAAACACTATTTTTTTTAAGAGAAAGAGAGGTAGAGATTCCCTTGAAAATTATATTATTACGATATCGATATATATTTCAGCAATTATAAGTTATAAGCTGAATACCAAATATTATTACTCAAAACTGATGTTACGAGTATATGATGCATGTTATGATAAAAACTTTATAAGTAGGTATTTAAGATGGACGTGTGGGAGTTTTGTTAGCAAAACTTGCGACATTAGTCTTTGGATAGTACTGTTGCTATACACAGTGCTACCCAAGGATTAATATATCTTACTAGACCGATCGTCGCCTATGCGTCCATTATGTAGTGCGGTAAGGTTGAACAGCTGAGTGTGCAGAGTGTCTCAGTTTTTTAAACGGGTAGTAATGTCTGGTACACTGATAAGTTCAAAACGGATCTGGGGTGGCCTCGGGCGCGTTCGAAGCGTGGAAGAACACAAGTATAAGCGCGAACCTCGATCCATATTGTTCGGTGTTGAAATACGTGCAATAGAAATATGACTGAGAGTAAATTTAAAAAAGGGATTTAAAAATCGCGCCATTTTTGTACTCTCAGACAGCAGGGCGGCATTGATGACGCTCCATTCGGCTCAGGTCACATCCAAGCTCGTGTGGAGCTGTTTGCTCGCGCTTGTGGAGTTGGTATCAACAAACAGAGTAACGCACATTTGGGTGTCACGGCACAGCGGACACAATGGCAGCGAGATCGCTGACTGATTGGCGCAGAGGGGATTGCAGATCCTTTTCGTTCGACACGTCCCCTCTTGTGGACTGTCAATGTCTGCCATTAAGGGCAGACTTGGTGCTCTGCTTGAGGAGCAATTAAATATTCGCTGGGGGGCTACAAAGGGATGTCATCTTGCGAAACTTTTCCTTCCAACTTGCTCGAAGAAGTTTTCCTCAGAGCTGCTAGGGACCGTAATCTTATTCATGCAAATACTGGTCTTTTCATTGGTCATTGTCTGGTGAAATATCACTTGCACAAACTAGGTAAATCGCACTCCCTTTTGTGTAGATTCTGCTGAGAGAAAGCTACACACATTCTGCGTGACTGTCCTGCTGTCTTCACAAGGTGCAATTGGTTTGAGTGGGGCTTTCTTAATGTTGGGGAGCTCACGTTCAACTTCATTAGGGATACCTCCGGATATTTGCTTGGAACCGGGTAAGTCCGGATATTTACTTGGAATCAATAAAAAAAAAGTAGCTATTTAAGAATCAAATAACAAAATCGCAATTTATTTCCTTAGACTAGATATATGGTAACAACGCAGCGCGACCATTCAAGTGATGGATCTATTATTTACGATATATTTCCTTATCGCATAAATAATTAAAATCACATTTCTGTAAAAAGAAAATTTTCTTAAAAATATTTTTAGAATAAATGCATAACTATGAGAAATTTTGATGTTAGAAAATTTTACATATCAAATGTTCAACCGAAATACTTTTATCTGCCAAAATACAGAGAAACTACAAAAATTAAATATTGTTAGCGAAATTTCGGTCGATGTATCTGTATGTGCGTGAACTGATATTTGAAATTAAAAACTTTGAGTACTTCTATTTAAACTTTTGCATAGAGACGATGTTTAGAGCCTGATTCGATTAACAAAGGCTTGAAGTCAATTTCAAATGATCTTCTTACTTTTTGAAATTTTAAGTATATAACTCCGTTCCTATGTGTCAGATAGGCACATTATTAAATATGATTTCGAAACCTCAGAACACAAAGCTTTCTCATGAATATCTACATTACTTATAATCTGTCCAGATTTTGGAAACATATGTATGTATATGATTTTAAAGTTCGAAAAATTAGAAAATTTTAATTTTTAATTTTATTGTTAACTGAGCTCTAATTTGCTGTCATTTTCCTGCCTCTTATATACACTGACATCGAAAGTGTAATTCGCAATTGGCTTTTATAAGCTTAATTCTGCATTAATACAGTATTATTGCAATTCCGATTTCAGGGATGGTTTAAGAATAATTGAGAAAAATAAAGTGCCGCAAAGGCATTTTTAAGCCAATTTTTTTTCTTTAATGTCTACAAAAGTATTGTTATACCAAATTTCTTTCTTCAAATTTATAACAAACGGTTAAAAACGGTGTTAATCTCTTTATACAAAGGTTCAACTTTCAAACCGGATTTCCCTTTAGTTTACAAATATTAACGACCAGAGAATATCAAGCTGTTAATTGCTCTTATCGGAATTATTAAAATCCAAATTTCTTTTTGGATTTTAATAATTTCGAATAAAGCGTATTTTTTTCTCAAATTTCTTCAAAAGAGAAAAACTAACGGGTAATATATTGCAATCGAAAATATAATTATAATCTTAAATCACTTAACTGTGATTAATCGTCAAATTATATTGTTAACAACGCTTATTTTTAATTCATGTTTTGCTCCAAAAAGCATGCAATAATTTTTTTTTGCATAACATAATTTTGGCATATTAATGGCGAATGATTTAGAGAGCAAAATTGCTTTTTATTAAAAAAAGTATATTTTCAAAGGCAAAATGTCATAAGGTTACAAGATTTTTGGTTTGATGAAAGCCCTATTACATCAACCGTGACTTCCAAAATGCAGTAATACGATATTAATACATAATTCAACAATTAGAACTTAACTTCTCACAACTTTTGAATTTGGCACAACTACATTTCATTATGGGTTTGACTCTAATTGGTGCAAGAAAAACTTTGCAAAATTTTTTGCTTAAAGAAATAGTAAAATATGGTGGTGGATAAGTCGCTGAATTTATTATAATTACAGCATTCAGTTTTCTTCTCATCCGTAATATTAATTTCCTTTCTATATCATTCATCATTTTAAATTGACCGTTTTTTAAAAATAAATATCTATTAGCATATGTATAATAAAAATGTTCTCCATCTTAAAATATAGCATTTGTTCCAATTTCGAAATTCTATTTTATTTATAATTTTATTTATAATTCAATTTCTGTTTTATGGACTTAGTCTTATAATAAGTATATATAGTCATATGATGAATATATTATATATAGTATAATAGTGTTAATTTTAATATTAATTCTGTACCAGATTATGGTTCATTGCATAATTCATTTTAATTATTTTTCAACTATAGTTATTATTCTAAATAGATTTTTTTTATGATTCTTAAAAAGAATTGCTGATTACGAAAACGCGATGTACACAAAACATATTATATAGGATGACCTATGCCTCTAACAAATATACAATTATATGATAACGGATACACATATAAACAAGTATACAATGTAAATATGTACAAGTTGTTAACTATATACAATGATAATAAATAAAATTATTTAGAAACGAAAAGAAAAGAAAAAGAAAAGAAAATTTTTATTATAAAAGGTCAGAAATTAATTTTAACAATTTTAAATATAAAAAAAAGAAATTCCAATGAGATTAAATGGAAAAATTTTTACACAATACAATATTGAATTCAATTTAAATCTAATAGACCAAAATACTTTCTTTTTTGTATATTAATCAAATATTTTGCATTTTTTTTTTGTTCTCATATAAGAATCAAATTTATTTCAAAATTACACAAAGTTTATTTTTTAATATTCATGGCTTAATAAACAATTCAGCAATTAAAACTTATAAGTGGAATTGTTTATTAATACCGTATACTGTAAATTTAAAGTTAGGGTATTTCATAGCAATAGTTTTTATTCGCAATTAGTTATTTTCGAAATATATCAGACAATTATAAGATTGGAGTAATTTAGATCAAGTATTAAGCATATTGCCTAATAAAGGCGCAATAAATATCATATGGTCGTAAATAAGCATCTATCAGTTAGCAAACAACAAGCGTCATCAGTTACTGAAAAGGAAGGAAAAAAAGTTGATGATGTAGGTTAATAACATACCAACCACCAGACACTAAAAGCTGTCAGATTAATAAAACAATTCTTAAAGTTGACTTCATCGGTGTACTCAGTATTATGAATTAAACTTGGGGAATTTTCGATAATTCAGCTTTAACTTATAGATCTGAATATAAGCACGTTCGATGTATTAGTTATTAGAATATTTAAGTTTTTTTTATAACTACATTAAAAAATATTAAAAATTATAGAAAAAAAAGAGCATTATATAGAAATGTTGGATATTGAAGAATTACTCGACCATATTTTATTACAAATCCGCAAACGTAAAATATTCAATTCTGCCTGTGATACCCAAACCTGTGATACCCATACGAATTTGTTATCCTATGTGCGAGTATAAATGCCATAGCTGATTATGAGACTGACTATGACTTTAAGTTGCCGTATTACCATATTAATTTATGTAAAATTTCAATATTTTTTGTAAGATAGGGTCAAACTACTATTAAAGCTGTATGGCAACCAGAAAGAGGCAAACGATTTCAACAAATCTCATCAAACACATTGGCCCTACTAATATACTTACTTGTGCGAAATTTCAATACCAAAGCTTTTATAATTTCTCAGATATAGTCAAATACATTTGAAGTTGTATGGCAGCTATCCGAACCAGTACCCCAATCATATCCAATTTAAATAAGGTTCTGGCATTTACTATATAATGAATCATTTGTGAAAATTTGTTGAACTTAGCTCAATTTGTTTTTGAGTTTTCGTTGGAACGGATGGACGGACACACAAAGCTAAATCGACTCAGAATTGTATACACTTAAGTCTATATCTCAGATTATTATTTTATAGTGTTACAAACGGTAAGGAAAATTTAATATACTCTGTGGGTACGTTCGTACGGGTATAACAAGAGATAAAACTATATATAACTCCTGCTTTAGTGTTTTATCAATTTATTAAGCCACCATATTTTTTTACTATATTTGTTTAATATTTTTAAGTCAGTATTTGGCACAT